TTTGAATATATAGGATTTAAAACCAACATATTCAAAAACCGCTACTTTGGCTGGGCGCAGTGGCTCATGCCTGTAATCCCAGCACTTTGGGAGGCCGAGGCGGGTGGATCATTTGAGGTCAGGAGTTCAAGATCAGCCTGGCCAACATGTGAAACCCCGTCTCTACTGAAAATATAAAAATTAGGGGAGCGGTAGTGGCGTGTTCCTGTAATCCCAGCTACTTGGGAGGCTGAGGCAGAAGAATTGCTTGAGCCTAAGAGGTGGAGGTTGCAGTGAGCTGAGATGGCACCACTGCACTCCAGTCTGGGTGACAGTGTGACTCCGTCTCAACAAACAAACAAACAACCGCTGCTTTGAATGAACGCTGTTGTGAAGATGTCGGTATGTGGGGATGTTCACAGTTGTGCAGGAACGTACTTGGGTGCCTCCCTGAGGCACCCACTGGGGAGGGGCTCCTGGTAGGAGGCATTGTGAGCCAGTGCGGGCATGAAGGGCCCACCATTCCTGCTCTCAGTGGGTGCACATGCACATGGAGGAAGGTGGGAAGAAATGTATATGAAGGTCACACACAGAGGAGACACACGTGGACCCACACTCAGGCTCTCAGCCTCTCTCCCTGCCTGCACCCCCACTTCCCTCCCTCCTAAAGCTGGCATGAGTTTGGAATGTGTAATAACAGTCTTCGGGGCAAATTAGAACAGGGAGTAAACTCTTTCTCTGACCACAGAGAACAGGGCAGTGTTTGGGGAGGGAATTGCCACAGAGCAGCAGAGCCGGTTGTGTGTGTGTGTGTGTGTGTGTGTGTGTGTGTGTGTGTGTGTATGTGTACATATGCCTCTGTGAATGTGTACGTGTGAGCTGGTGTGTACACACTCCTGGGTCGTGTGATGTGGAAGGAGCCCAGGGCTAGGAGTCTAGAGGTTTTCTTCAAGCCATTTGCTCCCTGGCTGGCCTTTTGGAGCCTCCATTTCCTGAGCTGCGAAGTGGGTGCAATAGCGCAGCTTTGTCCGGGTTCTTCGGGGGATTCAATGAGAGAGAGGCTTGGTAGATTTTAATGTGGGATATAAAATGCCAGACTATAGTTCTGGAATATGTGCATGTGTGTTTTGGGGAGGAGGAGTAAGGAGGAGAGGAAAATCAGAACCATGTTACAGTGGTGATGACGATGATTAAATATGACCAGAACCAACATATATCAAGTACTTCTTGATCTGCCTTATCTCCCAGAAGCTCTGCAAGGGAGGTTCTATTATTGCAATCCACATTTTATAGGTAGAGAAACCAAGGCTCAGAGAGATGAGAATGGGCAGGCAGTAATCATCCCTACCTCCTGGGATGGTTGTGAAGCCTGAAGGCGACATTGTAAGGGCTCAGCTGGTACCCTGGTACTCCATCATTAACCTGCTGTGTGACCTAAGTCAAGTCACTTAGCCTCTCTGAGCCTCAGTTTTCTCATCTGTAGAATGGGAATGATCGCAGTACCTACCTCCAGGGCAGGCTTTCTCAACATCACTGCTGTTGACCTTGTGGGCTGGGCCATTCTTTATGGTGTGGGCTGTGTTTTGCTTTGGAGGCTATTTAGTGCATCTGGCATGGTGGATCCCAGCGAAGGCCTCTGTGCAGGGCCCGGCAAGGTGGCCGAGCTCCCTGATGGGGAGGCCTTCCCTTTCTCCTCCCTGATCAATCTGTTTGAGGGTGAGTATGGCTCCCTTTTGCCCTCACCTGGCACCCAGGACATCCCCAGTCCATGGAGGGGTTCAGCCTGGGCTCTGCAGCCCACTGCCCACATTTCAGTCCTGGCTCTGTCACTAGCCTGCTGTGTGACCTCGGCAAGTTGCTTAGCTTCCCTGAGCCTGTTCCCTCATGTGCAGAATGGGAACGATTGAAGTATCTACCTCCAGGGCAGACTTTCTCAGTCGCGGCACTATTGCCATTGTGGCCAGGTCGTTCTTTGTGGTGCGGGGCTGCCTTCGCTTTGGAGGGTGTTTAGTGCCATCCCTGGCCTTGACCCACCAGATACCAGTAGTGCTCCCTCTCCCGTACAGTTGTGACGACAAATCATGTCGTCAGATATGGCCAAATGTCCCTGTGGGAGGAGCAGAACTGTCGCTGGTTGAGAACCACTGGTCTGGAGTCATGGTGGGGGCTGGATGAGGCCCCGTGCTGGGCACAGCATGAGCTGCGTCACCAGGCGAGGATGGTGATTTAGTTCATAGTGATTATTTAATCCTAATTAGAATGCTAATCATGATCGCCCAAGGACTTGACTTGCCCAAGGCCACACAACAGCCAGTCAGGTTGAGAATTGCTGGGAGGGGATTTGAACCGAGGACTGGCTGGCATCAGAGTCCCCATTTTGGAGTCCCCAGGAACCCAGGGTGCTGTCCAGGCATGGAGGGGGCTTTCCTCCTTAAGAGAGGGGTGTGGGCACAGTGGGGGCTGAAAGGACCTTCTTGGCTGCCTTCTCTGGCCTTGGGAGCTCCCTGGGGTGGGGTTCTATTAACCCTTGAGGTGCCTTGGTGAGGGGTGCAGGGGATAGAAAGGTATTGACAACAGAGAATGTGCCTGGTGCTGCCTTCTCCCCCAACCTCAGGACTGGGCCCCCAGTGAGGTGGGCAGGGCTGTGCCCAGGAGAGTCTAATCCACCTCCTGCCAATGCCTCTGCCCTTGCAGGTGTCCCTCCTGCCTCAGCGTCCCCCCAGCCCCCATTCCTGCAGAGCAAAACCCAAACACATGCGGCAGCCATGAGGGACTGGGGTCCAGGTCTCCCTCTCCCACCTGGCAGGTCGAAAGGACCTCATGTCTCCAGAGGTCCTACTAGGTGCTGGCACTGAGTAGGTGCCTCACATGCTGGAGGACCCTAGGAGGAGGCTAGTCACCCTGGTCTTACAGGTGGGAAAGCCAAGGCACAGAGAGGGGAAGTGATTTGCCCATGGTCAGACAGCTAGTGACGGCCAAGGCAGGAACTGGATCCATCTGATTTCAGAACCTGGCCTCCTAACTTCTTTTCTCCTTTAGTTATAATAACTGAAAACCCCACTCTATTTATTTATTTTTAGATGGAGTCTTGCTCTGTTGCCCAGGCTGGAATGCATTGGTGCCATCTCAGCTCACTGCAACCTCTGCTTCCTGGGTTCAAGCCATTCTCCTTCCTCAGCCTCCTGAGTAGCTGGGACTACAGGTGCATGCCACCACTTCTGACTAATTTTTCTATTTTTAGTAGAGACAGGGTTTTGCCATGTTGGCCAGGCTGGTCTCAAACTCCTGACCTCAGGTGATTCTCTCACCTCAGCCCCCAAAGTGCTGGGGTTACAGGTGTGAGACACTGTGCTTGGCCAAAACCCCACTTTAATCCCAGAAGCAGCACTGGATATACCTGGCCTCACTTCCCACTGCCTACACCTGTATGAAGAAGGTACTATAACTGTACCCATTTTGCAGAGGAGGAAACTGAGACTTGGGGAGCTCAAGTGACTTGCCTAAGTTCACGCTACATGTAAATAGCAGAGCTGGGATTAGAACCCAGGCCTCAATGACTCCAAAGGCCAGGCTCTCCCTCCCTGTTGGTGTCCAGAGGGGAGCCCATCCCTGGAGGGAGCTCTGACCCTCTGTGTCCTGCTATGCCCACTAAGGGAGGCCTCTTGCTGTGTCCCCACCTCTCTTGGCTGGTCCAAGCCTTCCCTCCTGGAAGTCATAGAACAAACAAGGTGGAGACTGGTTTATTTGTTTTTCTACGTGTATCTTGGGTGGGAAGGTTGAGATGTACAAGAGAGGCCTTTTCAGACATGCTCCTGCCTCCCACGTGGGGTGGTAAGAGTTCCAGGAAACTCACCCTTGGTGCTCAGCCCTGCCCGGCCGGCACCATGCTACAGAGAACAGGCGGCTGACAGCCAACCAGCAGGGTCTTACCCCTCCCTTGCCCTGGCTCCTGGCTAAGCACTGGACCTGGGAGCCAGAGAGACCTGATTCAAGTCCAGCCCTTCTCCCTGCAAGCTGTTTCACTACCACCTTAGAAATCTGCTTCCTCATCTGATAAATGGGAACAGATGACATCTTTGTCATAAAGTTGTTTGTGTGAGGACTCGGGGATGAACAATACAGATAAATTTCCTGCCTCCTGGCGCCCACAGCTTGGGATTGTCCTGTGAACAGCTGGGATAAGGCTTCCGAGGAGATGAATGTGGAGCATGGGAGAGAGTATGTGCTGGGCAGGGAGGGCTTTGCAGAGGAGGCCAGTTGAGCTGGTACACCAGTGGGGAAGGAGTTAACCAGGCAAAGGTGGGGGAGGGATCAGCACTTTGTGCTGAGGAGCAGAATTTGTGCATTGGGGAAGTCAACTGGAGCCTCAGTTTCCTGTTCTGTAAAATGGGGATCATTATGATGGTGTGTGATGAGGACGCAGGGCTGCCAGCCCACATGGCAAGTCCACGTGGATTTTCTGAGCCCCTTCTGTGCCTGAAGCCCATGGTTAATGGTTCTACTTTAGCAGGTGCTTATCACGTGCCAGGCGCTGCACCTCACTGGCCACCAGCCAGCATGTTCTGCCCACCAAGCTTGGATATCCCCATCTTACAGGTCAGGAAACTGAGGCCATGAAACGTCGACTTGCTCCATGTCATGGAATGACTGAGTGTGGAGCCTGGATTTGAACTTGGCTCGATGGGGCTCCAAAGCTGGCTTTCTTGGTCACCAATAGGGTCTGGGACCCAGGTATGGGGTCCCAGTGTGACCCTGCCCTCCACCCTTTTTCAGCCAATGCCCAGGGTAGTTGGACCTGGGGCCAATTTGTGTTTCCAGGTTCCTGAAAGAGGCTCCTGTTGCAGTTCCCGCCTGAGGCTGGCGGCCAACCACATCTGGGAGTGGCCTCGCTGCACCCCTGTCATTACAACAGTGGCTTTGAAGCAGCTGGCAGCACTGCTGCTTGTCCACGTGGGAGGGGGCTTCCTGGAGCCCCTGCTACTGGCCGGGTTCTGCCTGATTCCCTTTTCATTCCCTTGCAGACTGAGCAGTGAAGACAGGCCTGGGGCCGGCATGGCGGATCCCGGCGAAGGTCCCCGGGAGGTGGCTGAGCTCCCCGGGGATGAGAGTGGCACCCAAGGCGGGGAGGCTTTCCCCCTCTCCTCCCTGGCCAATCTGTTTGAGGGGGAGGATGGCTCCCCTTCACCCTCACCGGCTGATGCCAGTCGCCCTGCTGGCCCGGTCGATGGGCGACCAAATCTGCGCATGAAGTTCCAGGGCGCCTTCCGCAAGGGGGTGCCCAACCCCATTGACCTGCTGGAGTCCACCCTCTATGAGTCCTCGGTGGTGCCTGGGCCCAAGAAAGCGCCCATGGACTCGCTCTTTGACTATGGCACCTGTCGTCACCACCCCAGTGACAACAAGAGGTGGAGGAAGAAGATCATAGAGTGAGTATTGCTGGCTTCCTGGCCAGTGGTCTTCTCCTCTGTATCCATTCACCCATTCATCATCCATCCCTCTATCTATTATCTACCCATCTATCAATCTCTCTATCCATCTATCCATTCATCTCTCCATCCATGTGTCATCCATTCATCCATCATCTATCATCCATCCATCATCTATCCATCCACCCATCATCATCATCCATCCATTTATTTATCTATCATCTTCCATCTGTCTATTTATCTATCCATCATTATTTCATCTGTCCATCTACCATCTATCCATCCACCCATCATCCATTCGTCCATCTATTCATTTATCCATCATCCTTCCATCTGTCTATTCATCTATCCATCATTATTTCATATGTCTATCCATCTATCCATCTATCTACCCATCTATCCGTCATCCATCCATCCATCTATTTATCCATTATCCACTCCTCTACCCATTTACCACTCCATCCACCCTTCCATAGGACATTTGTCTGTTCATCCATTCACCCATCCACCCACTCATTTATATAACTATTTATTCATCTGTCTGTTCATTCATTCGTCTGATTTTTTTTTTTTTTTTGAGATGGAGTCTCACTCTGTTGCCCAGGCTGGAGTGCAGTGGTGTGATCTCAGCTCACTGCAACCTCCGGCTCCAGGTTTCAGTGATTCTCTTGTCTCAGCCTCCTGAGTAGCTGGGATTACAGGTGCCCACCCCCACACCCAGCTAATTTTTGTATTTTTAGTAGAGACAGGGTTTCACCATGTTGGTCAGGTTGGTCTTGACCTCCTGACCTCAGGTGATCCATGGGGATTACAGGCGTGAGCCACCACACCCGGCCATTCATCTGATTTTTATATTCACCCACATATTCACGTAATCATCTGTCCCCCATTCATCTACTTGTCTGTCCATCTCTTCACCTACACATCCAGCCTTCCATTGTTTATTATCTTCTTATTTATACATCTATTTACCCATCCATCCATCCATTCATTTATCTACCTATCATCTATTCATTCATTCATCCAGATGCCCATCTTTTCACTCATTTGTCCATCTGTCCAATCCATCCATCCATCCATCATCCACTTATTAAAATATCTATCTACCATCTATTCATCTGTCCAGCCATTCACCCATATACCAACCTTCCATTCGTCTACATTTACTCGTGTGTATGTCATTTTATCCTCATCTGCCCATTGTTTCTATTCATCTAGACATTCAGCTATCAAACCATTCATTCATTCATCCATTCATTACATTTCTAATGCTCGATTGCTAACCCATCTGCCTGCCTTCTTTTCTTCCTCTCCTTCTCTCTTCTAACCACCCATTCATTCATCCACCTCTCTGTCCATCCCTTTGTTTGCTCAGTCACTGACTCATTGATTCATTTGCTTATCTTTTCTTCCATTTTTGCATCTATTCATCCATCCTTCTACCTACCTTTTCCCTGCACACATGCAGCTGACCCTTCTGGGTCTTCTTCAAGGATCACCTCCATTCCTGACTATCCAGGGGCTTTCCTGAGGCTTGAAGAGAACTGGCAACCCCAAGGCAACCCCCTTTCACCCATAACCATAGCCTTATGAAAGAAAAGACAGAGTGGAGAGAAGCCCTGGATGGGGTGACAGTATGTGGCCCCCATAATGCATTTCAGGCCAGGCCTAGCTGGGGACCAGGAGCCTTCAGCCCCCTTCCACCAGCTTGTTTGGTCCCCTTCCTTCCCCCAGTGGGTTCTCCTCTGAGTCTTGCAGCCCAGACTCTAGACTCATACATGTTTGCCTGGCATCTGCACGTGGTTCATGTGACATTCTACAAACTCAGGCACCCAGAGTTCTGTTACCAGCATGACCCTGTCATCTGTCACCTGCAGAGTCCCTGCTTTGTGAGGTTGAGCTCTCCCTCCTGGTCCTTTAGAAAGTCCAGGGGCTTCTACAAGCTTTTGGCAGTTTTCGGGAGGGAGCAGGGCTTACAGTCTGCTAGCTAGCTCCTCCTGAGCCTCAGCAGGCCCTGCTGAACCATATCCTTTCTAGGTCCCAGCTCTGCTGTCCCTGATGTGCCCTGAGTGACCCTTCCCTCAACTGCTCCCTGAGATCCCCTCTTGGTGACCTCTGTGTGTGTCCTGGAGGACGGCCCTGAGGTCTGGAGATGCCCTGGACACACCTGGTCCTCCTCTCTCCCCCCTGCTGGCCGCGGATTCATCTCTTGGTTGGAGCCCATTCACCTTCGCAGCACTCGCTTGGTCAAGAGCCGCCCCCTTTATTTATTCAGAGTCACCGATTCTTTTAGTGGATGTTTCTTTTTTTTTTTCTGTTGTCTTTTTTTGAGATGGAGTCTCACTCTGTCATTCAGGCTGGAGTGCAGTGGTGCGATCTCGGCTCACTGTAACCTCTGCCTCCCAGGTTCAAGCGATTCTCCTGCCTCAGCCTCCCGAGTAGCTGTAACTACAGGTGTGCACCACCACAACCAGCTAATTTTTGTGTTTTTAGTAGTGACAGGGTTTTACTATGTTGGCCAGGCTAGTTGGAACTACTGACCTCAAGTGATCTGCCGACGTCGGCCTCCCGGAGTGCTGGGATTACAGGCGTGAGCCGCTGCACCCGGCCGGTGGATGTTTCTTGAATGCCCACTCTCTGTCAGTCAGTGGGGTTGGCCCTGAGGCTCCAGGGAGAGCCAGGGCAGATCCGCCTCGACTCAGGCGGCACTTGCAGTTTAGAGGATGAGACAGGGAAGAAGTAAGTAGCTGATCACATGGATGTGTGATTTGAGTTGGGGGAGGTGCTGAAGTTAGAGAGTGGGCGGATATAGAAAGGTAATCCAGGAGGGCTTCTTGGAGGAGTCAGCATTTAAGCCCAAAGCCAAGGGTTGTGAAGGGGCAGGTACAGAGAGGGAGGGAAGGGTGTTCTAGATGGAGAGAAATGTGAGTGCAAGGGCCTAAGGCTGGAGATGCTCTGTAGATGTGTCCACGGAACAAGGCCTCACAGTTGTCTGTGTGCTGAAAGATCTGTGCAACCTCTGCTCAGAGGTGGAAACAAACTGAGGGCCAGAGCAGCAGAGTGCCCAGTGTTCCCACCCTTCTATTGAAAGCTGGTGCCCAGGGTTCCCACCCTTCTACTGAAAGCTCTGAGCTTTGTGTCTCCCCTTCCCTCCCTCAGACCCCTCCTGCAAGCCCTCCTCCCATCCTAACCCCAGGAAGTCCAGGCTGGTGGAGGAAATGGGATGCAGCTGAGCCCTGAAGGCTGCCTCAGTGAGATCTGGTGGGGGCAGTATTCCTTTTTATTTTTTGGCTCAAAGGTCAAAGTTCAGGAAGAGGTAAACTGGGGGCTGCCCAGGTGCCCTTGTTAGAGGCTGTCCCTGTGTCTGTGCTCCTGTCAACAAGAGAGCACCTCTTACCCCACTGTGGATGCTAACGACCCCCTTTCCCAGCACCTGCCCCGAGATGGAAAATCTTGACCCCTGGGAAACAGGAAGGGAGGAGAGTGGCTGTCCCCTTCTCATGGTGAGACAGGTGGGGTACAGCCAGATGCCAGCTTCATCTGCCCTTGCAACCCTGTCCCACCTGCTACCACAGCCTGCCCTGTCCTCAGTTTCCCCAACTGCATTCCCCCTTCCCCTCTTGGCCCTGCTGCTGCTTGTTAGGGTTTTCTCTGTTCCCCTACTCTACCCTCTTCTCCCTCCCAGACGCTGTGCTTCCGTCTTCCTTCTCTTTAGCTTCTTACTCATTGAACAGAGTCTTACTGGATCCCAGGATGTGCCAAGCACTGGGCCGGCGAAGAATGTAAGAGAGAGAGCATCCCTGCTGGGGGATGCTGGGCCAATTCTCTCTCAGAACCTAGTATATAATAGATGCCCAAATAATGTTTGTTGAGTGACTGAATGAGTGTCTCCATGCCCTCCTTCTCTTAGTGTCTGTTTCCTTCCTTTCTCTCTCCATCTCTTCTCCTCCCAGCCCTCTCTGTGCCATGCCCTTCATCCTTCTGCCTCTGTAGCTCCATGCACCTACAAGTTCCTGACACACAGTAGGTACTCCTTAATAGTGGTAATATCAACTAACATTTATTGAGTGTTTACTGTGTGGCGGGCCATGGGAAAGTACATATAAGCATGGCCTCATTTTTTCAAATGTTTGTTGAATAATAAATTTATTTTCAACAATGAATGACTTATTATGGAATGATAGTTATAGAATGAATGGATGAAATGCTTCATCTCTTAGTCTGCTGTTTCTTTTTCTCTCTGTTTTTATCTTGTTCAGTCTGTCTGCCTTAGTAAGTACTCAACAAATGACTAAAATATGAGTGGGTGGGTGGGTGGATGGCAGTTGGATGGATGGATAGATGGATGGGTGGATGGGCAGATGGATGGATGGATAAGTGATGGATGGGTTGGTGAGTGGATGAGTGGTTAGATGAGTGATGGACTGATAGATGGGTTCACGGATGAGTGATGGATGAGTGGGTAGATGGATGAGTGATGGATGGATGGGTGGATAGATGGAGTGAGTGGATGCGTAGATGGATGGATGAGTGATGGATGGATGAATGGATGGGTGGGTGGGTGGATGGATGGATGGATGAGGGATGGATGGATGATGGATTGGTGGGTGGATGGGTAGTTGGATGGATAAGTGATGGATGAATTGATAAATGAATGGGTGGATGGATGGATGAGTGATGGATGGATGAGTGATAGATGGATGATGGATTGGTGGGGGGATGGGTAGTTGGATGGATAAGTGATGGAAGAATGGATAGATAAATGGGTGGATGGATGGATGAGTGATGGATGAGTGAGTAGGTGGAAGGATAGATGAAAGAGTGGATAGATAAGTGATGGATGAATGGATAGATGAATGGGTGAATGGGTGGTTGGATGGATAAGTGATGGATAGATGAGTGATGGATGGATGTGTGGGTAGGTGGATAGATGAGGGATGGATGGGTGAGTGATGGATGGATGGATGGATTGGTAGGTAGATGGCTAGTTGGATGGATGAATGATGGATGAATGGATCGATGAGTGGTGGATGGATGGATGAGTGATGGATGGACGGATGTGTGGGTAGGTGTGGATGGTTAGATCAATGGGTAGATAGATGGATAAGTGATGGATGGATGAGTAATAGATGAATGGATATGTGGGTAGATGAGTGATTGATGGATGATGGTAGGTGGATGGGTAGATGGACGAATGAGTGATGGGTAGATTGATGAGTGAGTGGAAGAATGGATGAAGGATGGATGGATAAGTGATGAATGGATGGATGGGTGGGTAGGTGGTGGGTGAATGGTGGGTGGGCGGATGGTTGGATGGATGGATGGATGAGTGGGTGGATGGATGGATGAGTGATAGATGGAGGGATGGGTGATAGATGGGTAGGTGACTGGATGGATGAGTGATGGATGGAGGGATGGGTGAATAGATGGTTGAGTGGGTGGGTAGATGGATGGATGAGTGATGGATGGATAGATGGATGGGTGGGTGAGTGGATGTGTGGATGGATGGGTGGATAGATGTATGGGTGGGTGAGTAGATGTGTGGATAGATGGGTGGATAGATGTATGGGTGGGTAAGTGGATGTGTGGATGAATGAGTGGATAGATGTATGGGTGGGTGAGTGGATGTGTGGATGGATGGGTGGATAGATGGATGCGTGGGTGAATGGATGTGTGGATGGATGGGTGGATGGATGTATGGGTGGGTGAGTGGATGTGTGGATGGATGGGTGGATAGATGTATGGGTGGGTGAGTGGATGTGTGGATGGATGGGTAGATAGATGTATGGGTGGGTGAGTGGATGTGTGGATGGATGGGTGGATAGATGGATGGGTGGGTGAGTGGATGTGTGGATGGATGGGTAGATAGATGGATGGGTGGGTGAGTGGATGTGTGGATGGATGGGTGGTTAGATGTATGGGTGGGTGAGTGGATGTGTGGATGGGTGGATGGATAGATGTATGGGTGGGTGAGTGGATGTGTGGATGGATGGGTGGATAGATGGATGCGTGGGTGAATGGATGTGTGGATGTATGGGTGGATGGATGTATGGGTGGGTGAGTGGATGTGTGGATGGGTAGGTGAGTGGATGTGTGGATGAATGGGTGGAGAGATGGATGGGTGGGTGAGTGGCTGTGTGGATGGATGGATGGATAGATGGATGGGTGGGTGAGTGGATGTGTGGATGGATGGGTGGATAGATGGATGGGCAGTCTGTGTGTTTCTTTCTTTATGTTTGTCTCCACCCAGCACACAGTAGGTACTTGCAATAGTTTGTTGGATAAAACATTCCTTAGTTCTTCCAGTTGCCCTGCCTACCTCAGTCTGCTCCTGTAAGGCTTCAGCTGCCCGCCCCGCCACCGGGCACAATCTCTGGGTCCCTAAGGCCAGGGACAGTGGGGCAGGCAAGGGATGAACCCTCCCATTAACTTGCTTCCCCACCTTCTCCAGGAAACAGCCGCAGAGCCCCAAAGCCCCTGCCCCCCAGCCGCCCCCCATCCTCAAAGTCTTCAACCGACCCATCCTCTTTGACATCGTGTCCCGGGGCTCCACCACTGACCTGGATGGGCTGCTCCCGTTCTTGCTGACCCACAAGAAACGCCTGACTGATGAGGAGTTTCGAGGTAAGCCACCCAGATGGGCATAGCCAGTGGGACAGCCAGGGGTGTGAGGGAAGCCTGGCATTGGGGGTCCCTTTCCCCCTCAGCTTCTTCCTTTGGGTCACTGGACTGCATTGGCCTGAAAAGAACACTGGACAGGGAGTCTGGTCCTATGTGTTCTTCACCATGTTACTTAACGTTGTCTCTGGGCCTCAGCTACCTCCACCTATTCATTCATTCATTCAGCCCTTATTTATGAAAAGGTTAGTGTAGTGGGTAAGCAGAGTCCACCTACCTGGGGTCAGAACCCACCTTTACTACTTAAGCAATGTGTGGCCTCTCTGAGCCTCCGTTTCCTCATCTGTGAAAAGGGGGAATAATCACAGCATGCTCCTGGCTCTGAGGAGAGATCATCTCACAAAGAGCCCAGTGCAGGCTGCTGGAGTCCTGGAGCTCCTGCTCCCTGAGGGAAGGTCTGGAGGGGTGGGCAGGGTGTCTGGGCTGGGAGTCCTGATTCCACTTCTTGGGATCTGCTCCACTCCAGCACAGCTGGGCTGAAGTCCCAGCCCAGAGAGCTCACCCTTCAGCCTTGTCCAGATTCAAAACACCCGCCTTAGGGCACTGGCACCTTCCACAGCCCCAGACCTCACCTGTGAACACCTGCACCCAGATCAGCCATCTATGATGTGCTGGGTTCCGGGTAAGCCATTAGTAACTGGCTGTGATCTCACAAGTCAAGATACCATGTCAAGAAATGTGACATCTAGGCTGGGCATGGTGGCTCGTGCCTGTAATCCCAGCACTTTGGGAGGCCAAGGCAGGAGGATTGCTTGAGTCTGGGAGGCCAAGGCAGGAGGATTGCTTGAGCCTAGGAGGCTGAGACTGCAGTCAACTCTGATCATGCCACTGCACTCCAGCCTGGGTGACAGAAAAAAAAAAAAAAGAATTGTGACACCTGCTATGAAGAAGGGCCCGTCTTGGAAGACTGACTGGTTGGTCTACATCCTAAGTCTGAGGAAGCTTCAGGGATGTCAGAAGAGGCCATTCTTTGAGACTTCAGTTACTTTAAGTAAATTAAGTTCCCAAACAGGGTGAACAAGTCTGTGCTACGCCATCCACATACACCGTTATCAACCTGTTGTTGTTTGTTTTTAGATAGAGTCTCATTCTGACACATAGGCTGGCATGCTGTGGTGTGATCACAGCTCCCTGCAGCCTTGAACTCTGGGCTAATGCAATCCTGCTTCAGCTTCCAGAGCAGTTGGGACTACAGGCGCAAGCTACCATACCTGGCTAATTTTTCTTTTTTGTTTTAAGAGACAGGGTCTCACTCTGTTGCCCAGGCTGGTCTCAAACTCTTGGCTTCAAGCAATCCTCTTACCTTGACCTCCCAAAGCGCTGGGATTACAGGTGTGAGCCACTGAGGCTGGCCTCAACCTCATTCTTTTTTTTTTTTGAGACGGAGTCTTGCTCTGTCACCCAGGCTGGAGTGCAGTGGTGCGATCTCGGCATGATGCAACCTCCACCTCCCAAGTTCAAGTGATTCTCCTGCCTCAGCCTCCCAAGCAGCTGGGATTACAGGCGTGTGCCACCACGTCTGGCTAATTCTTTTGTGTTTTTAGTAGATACGGGGTTTCTCCATATTATGTTAGCCAGGATGGTCTTGATCTCTTGACCTCATGATCTGCTTGCCTTGGCCTCCCAAATTGCTGGGATTACAGGTGTGAGCCATTGTGCCTGGCCAACCTCATTCTTAAGCTGAAACAGTACAATACAGTATCATTGTGTCTATCAGAAGATAATTGTTGGGGCCGGGCATGGTTGCTCACAAGTGTAATCCCAGCATTTTGGGAGGCTGAGGCGGGTGGATCACCTAAGGTCGGGAGTTTGAGATCAGCCCGGCCAACATGGTAAAACCCTTCTCTACTAAAAATACACACACACAAAAAGAACCGGCTTGGTGACACACACCTGTAATTCCAGCTACTCGGGATGCTGAGGCAGGAGAATCACTTGAACCTGGGAGATGGAGGTTGCAGTGAGCTGAGATTGCACCACTGCACTCCAACCTGGTGACAGAGCGAGTCTCTGTCTCAAAAAAAAAAGAGACAGTTGCTGGATGTATGAAAAATATTCATTTGTGGTTCCCGGATAGATGATGTGGCCTCGTTTGGAGGCACAAGTTTAGAGGTGTGGGAGGACAAGGCTTCTCTCTGCCCCTGGAGTAGCTCAGTGATGGCATGGATAATCTCATTCGGAGACAACCCGGGTTTAAGCCCTGGCCGCATGGCCTCTCCTGCTTCACCCAGTATGTGAGGCAAAGGTGGGGAATCTCTGGGCAGAGTGGATCCTGGGAGGTGGCTGCTGGCACCTGTGCCTTCAGCACCAGGCTTGCTTGTTGAGGCCTCTGGCTTCTCCTGAGTTCAGGACTGAGTCCGGGGCTCTTAGCCTAGTCCAGGAACCCCCAGATGCACGTGTGTCTGTGCATGGGCATGGGTGGGGGACTCTAGATAGGCTTGGGAGGTGGGTCGCTGAAATTGCAGAGGCTAGTGTATGTGTGTAGAGGGAGACTTGAAGTGACAGGGCCCCTGGCTAAGGCCTTTTCTAAGGTCCTGGATCCGCCCCTGCATGTCTTTCTGGCTACAGGGTCATGAGCTCATCTGATTATAGGGAAGTCTGGGATGTCCTCCTCTGCCCCCACGTCCCCTCTGCAGAGTTTTACAACCTCCAATTTGGCAATTGTCAATTTAGAGCCCCTGACTACAGCAGCCCACCCTGGGCAGAGCCACTTTGCCACCTGGTGGCCAGATCCTGGAACTGCATGTTCTACCTCATCTCTGGGAAGATCCTGCTCCCGACATCTCCCCAGGACCCAGGCACCCCGTCCCTGGGTCTATAACCTGCATCTGAAAGCTCGAATTCAAGGTCTCTAGTTCCACTTTGGGTCACCTATGGTTTGGAATCACCTGGGGTGCGCAGATCGCCCCTTCTTTCAGTGTGTGTTAACTCAGCAAATGGTCGTGGGACACCTACCCCATGGCAGGCACCATGCTTGGCAGAGGCCGAACAATAGTGAGCAAAGCAGACATCGCAAGGTGCCCTCAAGGTTCTCAAAGGCTCCTGGGCAGGACCAGCACTGACCAAGCAACCACAGAAATAAGCACACAGTTACTGTAACCAGTGTCAACAAGAGGCTGTCCTGGAGGATTTTACCTAGTCAGGGAAAATCCAGGAGAGCTTCTTGGAGGCGGTGACACTTGAGCAGAGTCTCAGTGAGTTGCAGTTAACCAGGTGAAAAGAGGAGGGAGGAGTATCTCAGATTGGGGTGGGGATTTGGGGACAGCAGGTGCAAAGGCCCTGTGGTTCACTGTGGTCAGTTGCACTCTGAAGTGACCATTCTAGCTGCTATGTGGAAAGTGGATGAAGGAAGGCCAGAGCAGGAAATGAGGGCGGTGTCTTAGGCATGTGAGAGGGAGGGGGAGCCGGCAAGGGGTTGGAGGAATAGGAGGTACAATCAATAGGACATGTTGGGGTATGGGTGTGGCAGAGAAGGAGGGTGAGGACAAGTGTGACACCAAGGCTTTGGGCTGGATGGGGACGCCATCCTCTGGGAAGGGGACACATGCAGGCTGGGGTGTGGGAGGGAAAGATGTTGAAGTCAGCATGGAGACTTGTAAGCAGCCGAGCAAGAGACAATAATGAGAAAACAGACTAGCCACCTTGAGGCTGGAGCTGAGTGGGGGTGTGTCTGTGCATTAGGTCAGACTCCCAGGGGCCCCAGCCAGCATCCTGGATGCTGGATGGATGGATGAAGGAAGGCATTCCCTGGCTTCCACAGTTGGGGAGCAAGAGTTAGTTATTCATTCAAGAAATAGCTGGTGTCGCCTCTGAGCTGGGTACCAGGTGGACAGCGGGAAAGCAACAGGAACAAGGCTTGTCCCAATCAACCCTGCTCCTGGAAGGGCCGAGACTAGAGTTCAGGTCTCTGTGAGGCTGTCCCACTGATTCCCGGCATATAGGGAGACGGTTCCTAAATCCCCTCTCATGGAATAACAACGGCAACAGTAATATTTATCAAAGACTCCTATCTGCCTAGTACTGGGCTGATCAAATACTGATTAAGCTACTCAATCTCCCTTCATAGCTTTAATTTAGCCAGAAAGGACACTAAGCAGAGAAATGGTCATACAGCTATGGGGAGCAAAGCCAGGACTCAAACCCAAGGCGCCTGGCTTCAGAATGGGCACCTCCACCCACACCTGCATCTTCCACCCTCTGGCCATTCCCGAGCCCCTGGCATGATTTTGCCCTGTCCCTGATTCACAGGGGACTTTTCAGTTCACTTTTTGAGATATAAATCAACTCAGGTAACCATAAAAATAGCTACAATAGAAAAAAACTTGCAAAGAGGCATCAGCAACATCAGCAAGTGTTAGCAAGAGGCGTTAAGGACTCGCTAGTACCAAATGGATAGTTGACTTCATGAGAGAGATTTGGCGGTGGATGAAACCTTCAGTGTTATTGTCGCATCTCTGGAATCCCCAAGATTATCTCCTGCCTCTCCTAAGGTCCGTTCACGTCCACTGTGGCACGCAGTCCCACACTTCGGGGAATGCTGCACCCCTTCACCCCCTTCTAGGGGCGCCAGTGTAAATGCTTCATGGGAAAAGGATGCTATGTTCTGCAGGTGGGTGAACGCTGCCTAGTGTGTCTTGCTTTTAGAGCTTCACAGTCCCTGTGTGAAAGGCTCTGAGAGGTCCTATAGGAAGAACATACTGTTGGCTCTGTTTAACCCAGCATTCTCACCATTTACTTGTTTATGAAGCACTTCTAAAAAAATCTTTTCAAGGGCTGGGTGTGGTGGTTCACATCTGTAATCCCAGCACTTTGGAAAGCTGAGGTGGGAGGATCACTTGAGGGCCTGAGTTGGAGACCCGCCTGGGTAACATAGTCAGATCCCATCTGTACAAAAATAGAAATTAGGAAATTAGTTGAGCGTGGAGGTGCACACCTGTAGTCTTAGCTGCTACCTGGGAGGCTGAGGTGGGAGGATCACTTGAGCCCAGGAACCAGAGGCTGCAGTGAGCTAGGATTGCACCACTCTACTCGAGACTGAATGACAGAGCAAGACCCTGTCTCTCAAAAAAAAAAAAAAAAGATATTAATAAAAACAAAAAATCTTCCGAAATAAGATTAATTAAATAAACACCAATCTGTAGGCTGCAGCCTCTCACATCTCAAAGTCCTTTTACCCCCATGAGTTTATTGCACTCTCAGCACCACTGGAGGCAGATAGAGTGGCCCTGGGTTTCCACTGGACAGATGAGGAAACAGGCTCAGAGAGGAGATATTGACAGACAGGACATCTGACCCCCTGCCTATTGCTCTGTACGCCAGTGCCTAGAGTTCAAGGTCATGGGCGGGAGCTCCGCTTCATCCTGTGTGTCTTTCCCACTAGAGCCATCCACCGGGAAGACCTGCTTGCCCAAGGCCTTGCTGAATCTGAGCAACGGCCGCAACGACACCATCCCTGTGCTGCTGGACATCGCGGAGCGTACCGGGAACATGCGGGAGTTCATTAACTCACCCTTCCGTGACATCTACTATCGAGGTGGGGCCTGGGCTGGGCAGGGGCGCCACGGGGGTGGTGGAGACACTGTCCCTTGCCTGTCTTACCCCTGAGAGCTTTGATCTGGGCCTAAGTGCCAGCATGTACCCAGGACCTGATGAATGAATGAATGAATGGATGGATGATGGATGGATGGAGGAAGGAACAATACCCCTTCCAACTTTGTTTCAAGTTTCAGAATAGAAGATTCCACTGGGTGTGGTTGCTCTTGCCTGTAATCCCAGCACTTTGGGAGGCTAAAGGGGGCAGATCACATGAGCTCAGGAGTTCAAGACCAGCCTGGACAATGTGTTGAAACCACGTCTCTACTAAAAATACAAAAATTAGCCGAGCGTGGTGGCATGCACCTGTAATCCCAGGAACTCAGGAGGCTGAGGCAGGAGAATTGCTTGAACCTGGGAGGTGGATGTTGCAGTGAGCCAAGATCATGCCATTTCACCATTGCATTCCAGCCTGGGTGACAAGAGCAAGACTCGTCTCAAAAAAAAAAAAAAAAAAAGATACAAAAAATCAGGCATGTTGCTGCACACCTGTCCATGTCAGTGGTCCTTGCTACTCAGGAGGCTGAGCTGAGAGGATCACTTGAGCTCAGAGGGTTCGGGCTGTAGTGAGCTATGATCGTGCCACTGCACTCCAGCCTGGGTGACAGAGTGAGGCCCTGTCTGAAAAAAAAAACCAGTTTCAAGGTTCTGAGATGCAGTGAGTCTAGTGATCATGAACTGGGGATCTGGCCCCAACATGCTGTTGTGGCAGAGACTCTGAGGCTCTGTGATGGTGGGTCCTGCACTCACAAACTAAGAGGCAAAAGCAGCAGGAGACCAAGCTCTCTGGTTCTGAATTCTGAGATTCTACAAATCAGAGTTGACCGTCAGACACCTGGATATTAAGATTCAAAATCCATGAATATTACATCTTGAGTCAGAAATTCTGGGAGGCCAAGGTACTATTGTTTCCTCTAGGATTTTTTTTCTTTTTTTTTTTGAGACAGGGTCTCAAAAGCTGGAGTGCAGTGGTGTGATCACGGCTCACTGCAGCCTTGACCTCCTGGGCTCAAGCGATCCTCCCACCTCGGCCTCCCAAGTATCTGGGACCACTGGCATGGACTACCATGCCAGGTTAATTTTTTAAATTTCTGTAGAGATGGGGGTCTCACTGTGTTGTTGTATTAGTCTATACTCATGCTGCTCTAAAGAACTGCCCAAAACTGGATAATTTATAACGGAAAGAGGTTTAATTGACTCATAGTTCCTCAGGGCTGAGGAGCATCAGGAAACTTACCATCACAGCAGAAGCGGGAAGCAAACATGTCCTTCTTCACATGGTGGTAGGAAGGAGAAGTGTGGAGCGAAAGGGAGAAAAGCCCCTTCTAGAATCATCAGCTCTCTTGAGAACACACTCACTATCACCAAAACAACATGAGGGTAACTGCCCCCGTAATTAAATTCCTTTCACGGGGTCCCTCCCATAGCACATGGGGATTATGGGAACTACAAGGTGAGATTTAGATGTGGACACAGAGCCAGACCGTGTCAGTTGGCCAGGCTGGTGTTGAACTACTAGGCTTTAGCGATCCTCCTGCCTCCGCCTCCTGAGTAGCTGGGACCACAGGTGAAAGTCACCAAGCCCAGTTAATTCTTAAAATTTCTCCTATGTTGTTCAGGCTTGCCTCAAACTCCTGGGCTCAAGTGATCTCCCTCCTCAGCCTCTCAAAGAGCTGGAATTACAGGCATGAGCCACTGTGCCTGGCCTCCTCTCGGATTTTAAAGCATCTTATGAATCTAAAAAGTTCTCACCCTCAGGATTCCACACACTGGTATCCTGGGGAATATCTGAGGGCCCTATTTGCTGCCCTTGGGTGTTGCTGGGCAGGACTCTACCTGCATCCTCCACCTCAATTTCTATATCCTGCACCCCACACCCACCCCCAGCAAGCCTGGCTGGGTCTCTGCTCCGCCAGGTCCCTGGATGACTGTCCCCTGCCCCCAGGTCAGACGGCCCTGCACATTGCCATCGAGCGCCGCTGCAAACACTACGTGGAGCTCCTCGTGGCCCAAGGAGCTGACGTCCACGCCCAGGCCCGTGGGCGCTTCTTCCAGCCCAAGGATGAGGGGGGCTACTTCTACTTTGGTAAGGAGAGGCCTGGTGGGGCTGACAGCATGCTGGAGAGGCATGGTGGGAGATGGCGTGGTACTGGTGGTGTCTGCAGCCCTGACCATCCCCCAGACACCCAGGGCCACTCTGCCATGGGCACAGGCAGCACTCTGTCAGTCTTGGTCACGGGGCCCTGGCCTCTGAGGTGTAAGTGCCATGGGAGAACTTGGAACCATGGAGCTGGATTCAAATCCTTATTCCAGCCAGGCATCGTGGCTCACACTTGTCATCCTGGCACTTTGGGAAGTCAAGGCAAGAGGATCGCTTGAGGCCAGGAGTTTGAGAGTAGCCTGGGCAACATAGCAAGACCGTGTCTCTATTAAAAATTTTAAAAATGGCTGGGCGTGGTGGCTCACACCTGTAATACGAGCACTTTGGGAGAACAAGGCAGGCATATCACCTGAAGTCAGAAGTTCAAGACCAGCCTGGCTAACAACATGGTGAAATCCCATCTCTACAAAAATACAAAAATTAGCTGGGCATGATGGTGGATGCCTGTAATCCTAGCTAGTTGGGAGGCTGAGGTGGGAGAATCATTTGAGGCGGAGGCTGCAGTGAGCTGAGATTGCGCCATTGCATCCCAGCCTGGGTGACAGAACAAGACTCTGTCTCAAAAAAAGAAAAAGAAATTTTAAAAAATTAGATGGCATGGTGGCATGTACTTGTGGTCCAGCTGCTCGGGAGGCCGAGGCTGGAGGATCACTTGAACCCAAGAGTTTGAGGCTGCAGTAAGCTGTGATTGCACCACTGCACTCCAGTCTGGGCAACAGAGCAAGATCCTGTCTTTAAAAAGCAAAAAGAAAACAAGAAAAAAAGGCAAATCCTCACTCTGCACTCTCCAGGAGTGTGACCTCACTTCTCTGAGCCTCCCCAGCTGTGTGGTGGGAATCACGAGAGGCCCTTGGGCTGTGATGTCAGCACCCAGCTCTGTATTGTCTGTGCCCTTTTATCTGGTTTATGCTGGGACCAACGGTCTCATCACCAGGCCCAAAGTCTACCACTGCTATTGTCACCACTGGTCTCATGAAATAGTTTGAATTTTGCCCCTGCTTAAAGGCACTCCTTATGTGCAGCTCAGGGACAAAAATCACACAAAGAATTCCATCATCAGCCGGGCACGGTGGCTCATGCCTGTAATCCCTGCACTTTGGGAGGCTCAGGCGGGTGGATCACTTGAGGTCAGGAGTTTGAGGCCAGCCTAGCCAACATGGGGAAATCCTGTCTCTACTAAAAATACAATAATTAGCTGGGTGTGGTGGTGTGCACCTGTAATCCCAGCTACTCGGGATGCTGAGGCAGGAGAATCGCTTGAACCTGGGAGGTGGAGGTTGCAGTGAGCTGAGATTGCATCACTGCACTCCAGCCTGGGTGACAGAGTGAGACTCCGTCTCAGAAAAAGAAAAAAGAAAAAAAGAATTCCATCATTGGATGTGTCCAGTCCCTCACAGCTTCCAAGTAGCATGCCTGTACCCTTAACCAGCTACCCTGCATCTCCCCGGCCTCACCCAGAGAAACGTGCAGTTCATATCTGCTGCTGGCCCTGTCTCCGTCGTCACCCTCAGAGTGCCACGGTGTCTGCCCCGCAAGCGTCTGCAGGCAGAGCCCCACCCCAGGCCCCCTTCGCTGACCTCCCCCCCTCCACCCTGGCCCGCAGGGGAGCTGCCCCTGTCGCTGGCTGCCTGCACCAACCAGCCGCACATTGTCAACTACCTGACGGAGAACCCGCACAAGAAGGCGGACATGCGGCGGCAGGACTCGCGTGGCAGCACGGTGCTGCATGCGCTGGTGGCCATCGCCGACAACACGCGGGAGAACACCAAGTTCGTCACCAAGATGTACGACCTGCTGCTGCTCAAGTGTGCCCGCCTCTTCCCCGACAGCAACCTGGAGGCCGTGCTCAACAATGACGGCCTCTCGCCCCTCATGATGGCTGCCAAGACGGGCAAGATTGGGGTGAGTGTGGGCGGGGGCACAGCTGATCCACCCACTCATACCCCTCCACACACACACAAGGCTCTGCTGCTGGGATTCATCATTAATATGTGAATGCACCTCCCAACATGTCAACACCAGTGTGTGAATGTACCAGCTCAGGAGCCTGCTGTGGCTCCCTGGTGTAGAGCCAAGCTGCTTAGCTTCATCCTTGAGACTTTCACTTCATGTCACCCTATGGGATGTTCACCACCCCACTCCCACCAGCCAGGATGAGCCACTGATAGGAAACTGAGTTGCAGGGTCCTAGCGCAGCAGTGGTTCCAGCTTCAAGGCTGCTGAGTGGCCCTGTGCCAGTTCCTTTCCCTCTTCGGGCCGCACAGTATAGGGCCTGAAGGGTTTCTTAGCTTCAGGACGGTTATTTTGCCGGATGATGACCTGAATCCCGGCTTCTACACACCAGATGCCAAGAGCACCTCCCTTTACACTTGTGACCACCAAAAATATCTCCAGGCCATTGCTGAATTGTCCTCGGGGCAGCGTCGCCGTGATTGGGAACCAAGTCTTGAGTTCCCTAGAGGGAGGAGACCGGTCCAAGCCCTCCCACTTCCTAGTGTGTGACCTCAATGACCAGCCTCTGCCTCCCTCTCTTCTATTCCTTTTGCATCTCCCTTTTCTGTGCCTCAGTTTCCTTGTCTATAAAATGGGGATATAAGAGTGCCCTCTGGTGTAGTGTCATGGCAGTTAAATGAGGTGATCCACATAAGGCTCTTAGGGAGGAGACGGGGAGAGGCAGTAAATGCTCAGTGAATGGGGGGTGGGGACTATTACCTGGCGGGCATGGTGGCACATGTCTGTAATGCCAGCTAGTTGGGAGGCTGAGGTGGGAGGATCATTTAAGTCCAGCCTGGGCAACATAGTAAGATCCCAAATAAAAATAAACAAACAAAAAATAAAAATAAACATTCAGCAAAAATTACTAAAATTGTGATTATACCAGGGTCGTGAGGCAGTATAAAGGCTCGGGTTTAAATCCTGACTTCAGCTGGGCTCAGTGGCTCATGTCTGTAATCCTAGTACTTTGCGAGGCTGACATGGAAGGATTGCTTGAGCCCAGGAGTTTGAGACCAGCCTGGGCAATATAGTGAGACCTCATCTTTACAAAAAATAGAAATAAATTAGCCAGGCACAGCAGCATCTGCCTTTGGTTCCAGCTACTTGGGAGGCTGAGGTTGGAGGATCACTTGAGCCAAGGAGGTTAAGGCTGTGGTGAGCTGTGATAGTGCCACTGCACTCCAGCCTGGCCAACAGAGCCAGATCCTGTTTCAGAAAAACCCCTAAAATCCTGGCTGGGCATGGTGGCTCATGCCTGTAATCCCAACATTTTGGGAGGCTGAGGTGGGTGGATCACCAGAGGTCAGGTGTTCGAGACCAGCCTGGCCAACCTACCGAAACCCCATCTCTACTAAAAATGCAAAAATATTAGCTGGGTGTGGTGGCGAGCGCCTGTAATCCCAGCTACTCGGGAGGCTGAGGCAGGAGAATTGCTTGAACCTGGGAGGCGGAGGTTGCAGTGAGCCGAGATTGCGCCACCACACTCCACCCTCAGTGACAGAGCAAGACTCCATCTCAAAACAAACACAAACCCCAAATCCTAACATTGCCCCATGAAACCGCATGACCTTGGTTAACTCCTACCTCCTCTCTGTGCCTCAGCCTCCCTGTGTGTAAGCCAGGGAAGGAGGAGCGATAACAGGAAGGACCGCAGATGATTGGCAGTGTTATAATTCACATATTATTAAGTTGGGCTCATTGCTATTTTAAAGGCATGAGGAAGATATTCATTACAATTAAGATGGTGAAAGCTCGCCTAGGTCCCGTCTGGCTCCAGCTGACTAGTTATGTGGCTTCTGGAGCACCCTTCATTTTTCCCAGCCTCCACGTCCTATCTGTAAACCAAGACTATAAGAGCAAGAATTAAGATGAGGAAGGGAGGGGTCCTCCGGCAGCCGGGGCTCAGCTGTTTTCTGGGGAGGTGTCACGTGCTGAACTGGGCTCAGCCCCGGGGGCCTCTCCAGTGTGAGACCCTGACCCTCCTGGTCCCCTGTGCAGATCTTTCAGCACATCATCCGGCGGGAGGTGACGGATGAGGACACACGGCACTTGTCGCGCAAGTTCAAGGACTGGGCCTACGGGCCAGTGTATTCCTCACTTTATGACCTCTCCTCTCTGGACACTTGTGGGGAAGAGGCCTCTGTGCTGGAGATCCTGGTGTACAACAGCAAGATTGAGGTGGGCATCAGGACGGGGCATGGGGTGCAGGGAAGGAGGGGCCAAGCTGGGATGGGACTTGGGCGGGGCTGGGCTGGGGGAGAGAGCCCAGGCCTCTGGGCCCCAACATGGTGGATATGTTGGCTGAGTGCAAGAGGAGGTGCCAATGAAGTGCCCAGAACAGTGTCTGGCATGTGAGGAAATGAGCAAGGCTTGTGGGAAGGTGGGCTTTTGGGGCAGATAGGACTAGCTTGGGATCCTGGCTCTGTAACTTACATGCTGTGTGTCTCAACTTCCTTGTTTGTGACCTGGGGATAAGGACTGTGCATATACCGTGGGGTTGTTGGGAGGACCTGAGGTTAAGTTTAGAATGGCCTGGCACAGAGTAAACATCGTCAGCTATTAGCATTCGTGGTTGCTATATGAACTTTTGAAAGCTCTTTTTTTTTGGCCAGGCATGGTGGATTATGCCTGTAATCCCAGCATTTTGGAGGGCCAAGGTAGGTGGATTGCTTGAAGCCAGGAGTGTGAGACCAGCCTGGGCAATGTGGTGAAACCCTGTCTATACAACAAACATAAATAAAAATTAGCTCGGCCTGGTGGTGCGAGCCTGTGGTCCCAGCTACTTGGGAGACTTAGGTGGGAGGATCACCTGAGCCTGGGGAGGTCCAGGCTGCAGTGAGCTGAAATCACATCACTGCACTCCAGCCTGGGTGTCAGAATGACCCTGTCTCAAAAACAACAACAAAAACAGAAAACTCCCAAGCATTTTGTTAACTTTTTTCCCCACTTAGCAGTATCTTGTGAACATTGTTCTGCACTTTCAAATGTTTTTTGGTAATTCTGTGGCTGCATGTAAATATGCCATGTTCAAAGGAATTGTTCTGTTTTTGTTGCTCGTTTGGGTTTGTTTATGCCTTTAACCATCAGAAATAGCATGACAAGAGCCTCTCTGTGGCTTCGTTATTGCACACATCATGATTATGGAGAAACTCAAGTCATTCCAGGGCTAGGAAGCTGTACAAATGGAGCAGAAAATGCTGGGGACTGGGTGTAGGTGGTCTCCCTTCTAGCCTTGTCCTGTGGCTTACTGGGCCTGTGAGCTTGGCTTCATTGCAAGACCTCATTTGCCTCATCTTTTGAATTAGTGACCAACTCGATTTACATTAGTGGTGGCAGGAGGTTTAGCATCTCAGGTGCAAACTGATTGATTGGTAATGTCTACCCAGGGAACTGTATAAATATGATTGTGCAGGGCTCAATTATTGATGTCTGCCCTGGGTTCAGAATTGGAGAATGGTGGTGAGTCAGTCATTTATCATTTTTTGGCTAAATTTCCCAATCCTTCTCTCTGAATCAGAATTCCTGAGGATGGAGGCCACTATTTATACATGTAGGCAGCTATATGGATGATTTTGCCAGCAGCTTGGTCTATCCACAGATTGGAGTTTGGAAACCATGAGAATACGTGTCTTTTTTTTTTTTTTTTGAGAAGGAGTCTCACTCTTGTGGCCCAGGCTGGAGTGCAGTGGTGTGAACTCGCTCACTGCAACCTCTGCCTTCCAGATTCAAGTGATTCTCCTGCCTCAGCCTCAGGAGTAGCTGGGATTAGAGGTGCCTGCCACCAGGCCTGGCTAATTTTTGTATTTTTAGTAGAAATGGAATTTCACCACATTGGGCAGGCTGGTCTCAAACTCCTGACCCCAGGTGATCTACCTGCCTCGGCCTCCCAAAGTGCTGGGATTCCAGGCATGAGCCACTGCGCCCAGCCTGAAAACAAACGTCTTTTAAGGGACTTTCCAGTTCTGAGTCCTGTGATGGTAAAATAGGGTAGAAAGGTACATTGAGGCACAATTGGGCAGATCCTCAAACGCTGAGTGCAGGACCTTGGGGCTGATTTTCAGTGTCTGACCGGTTCCCTGTGAATCCTTGAAGGCAGCTGAGGAATGAACAGAAAGAGAAAGCACTGCTGGGGCGGGAGGTGGTGGGAGGCACACCCAAGGCAGCCTGCCTGGACCCCCCCACCTCGGGAAGGCAGCCCCAACCACCCTGCCTCTCACAGAACCGCCACGAGATGCTGGCTGTGGAGCCCATCAATGAACTGCTGCGGGACAAGTGGCGCAAGTTCGGGGCCGTCTCCTTCTACATCAATGTGGCCTCTTACCTGTGCGCCATGGTCATCTTCACCCTCACCGCCTACTACCAACCGCTGGAGGGCACGGTGAGTACCTGGGGACCGGGCAGGGGCTGGGGCGGGCACCAGGCTGAGTCACTCAGGACTGGGGCACAACCTCGTCCTTCTGATTTCCTGTAAGAGGAAATGGAGGTTTAGGAACAAGTTGGGGAGGTGCCCTCCAACATCCCGGGGTGGCCCTGAGCTGGGAGGAGGGAGACTCAGGAGAAAGAGAGTGATAGAGGGGGCTCCATGGGATCCAGATGTTTTGGGCCTGGGGGAACATCTGGATCAGGGGCCCGATGTCGGAGGGGCTGGGTGAGGACCTGTGTGCCCTTGCTGCTCCCCAGCCGCCGTACCCTTACCGCACCACGGTGGACTACCTGCGGCTGGCTGGCGAGGTCATTACGCTGTTCACTGGGGTTCTGTTCTTCTTCACCAATGTGAGTGCCTGGCCCCTGTGCCCCCACGCTGCCAGCCTTCCTATTCTTCCTGCACCTCTTTTCTCTCCCTCTTCTCTCTCTTCCAAATGGTCCTTCTCTCCTTCCTCCCTTTATTTTCCCCTTTCTCTTCTTCTACCTCCTTCAACCCCATGTTCTCCATCTCTGCTTTTTCTCCTTTTCTAACAGGAAAGAGTCCTTTGTCTTTTCTCTGTACCGGCCTCTGCCTCCCTCTCTTCTATCCCTTTCTCTGTCTCCTCTCCCCTCTCCTCTCCTGCTGGCCCTACCCCTTTCATGTGCCCCCTCTGTCTTCCAGATCAAAGACTTGTTCATGAAGAAATGCCCTGGAGTGAATTCTCTCTTCATCGATGGCTCCTTCCAACTGCTATAGTGAGTAGAGGTACCTGGGCTGGCAGCTTCTGGGTGAGGAAGGTGGGGTTGGGGGGCTAGGTCATCCGGATTCAGGAGAGAGGTGATTCTATTAGAAATGAATGTACCCAACCTGGGCAGCTTTAACCCAAAGTCAGGACAAAGCCATAAACAATAGAGTCTTCTGGTTATAGAAAAATTCTGATTGCTAGGGATATACATATGGATAGAATTATACACCATGGCTAGAATTAATTTTAATCTCTTATGCTGGTGAATGATTGCTAATGTTTGCCCGAAGTGCCATGTTAAGAATTTTGTGCCTGTGTCTGTGTTTAGTGGGAAAGAGTTGGGATTGATTAATGATGTCTGCTTGGGACACAGGATGAGAGAGTTACTGCGTGTGTTACCTCTTCTGCATTTCTCGTAGAGTTGGAGAACAATGAAATTTACCTAGCCGCACAATCTCCACTGAACTAAATCTTTCTTTAGCAATTCCAAGGGGCATCACTTCGGGATCTTGTGGGGCCTCAGGATTAATTGCCAACTAATTAAGTGTTCTTGTTAACAGCATGCTGGGGAACCCTGCTAATCCACTTAGTTTCTTTTCTGGGGGTCCAGAAGGCATTGGGTAGTCCGATACCCTGGAGGGCTTGGGGGCATGTCTTCCCCTCCAGAGCCTCATCGTTCCCTCTCCCCTCTGGCCTCTCTTGTGGTCTCTGCTGTGCTGCAGCTTCATCTACTCTGTGCTGGTGATCGTCTCAGCAGCCCTCTACCTGGCTGGGATTGAGGCCTACCTGGCCGTGATGGTCTTTGCCCTGGTCCTGGGCTGGATGAATGCCCTTTACTTCACCCGTGGGCTGAAGCTGACGGGGACTTACAGCATCATGATCCAGAAGGTACGGGCTGGGGGGACCCTCTCGACTCGTGCGTCCCTTGAAGGAGCCACACATACCTCACGCATACCTTATGCACCTGCAGACCTGAGGATGCTGGGTACCGTGGGGGCAGGAGGCATGGTCTGGACATTGGGGTTGGGCCAGGGTGGAGATGGAGGAATTGGGAAAGTGAGAAACCACGTGTCTCCTCTTTGCCTCCATAATCCCGCTGGGGTCTTTAGATCCTCTTCAAGGACCTTTTCCGCTTCCTGCTCGTCTACTTGCTCTTCATGATCGGCTATGCTTCAGGTGAGCTCTGGGTGCTCAGGTGGGTCTGGCAGGGGTGGGGCAAGGACGGGAACAGTAGCCATGATGTACTGGGGACAATAGCAGCCTTGCTGAGTTCTTTTTTTTTTTTTTAACTGAGTTTACTCTGTCACCCAGGCTGGGGTACAATGGCATGATCTCAGCTCACTGCAACCTCCTCCTCGCAGGTTCAAGCAATTTTCCTGCCTTAGCCTCCCAAGTAGCTGGGATTACAGGCACCTGCCACCATACCAAGCTAATTTTTATATTTTTAGTAAAGACAGGATTTCACCACATTGGCCAGGCTGGTCTTGAACTCCTGACCTCAGGTGATCTGCCCACCTCGGCTTCCCAAAATGCTGAGATTGCAGGCATGAGCCACCATGCCACCCCTGAGTTCTTATTTGTATGCCAGGAACTGGACTACGTCCGTCCTTGCCTCCAACAAGCCTGTGAGCTAAGTGTCTCTATTATCTCCTCTTGTAGAAAAGGAAACTAGGCTTAGGAAGGTTAAATAACCAGCACAAGTTCAAAAGCCAGTGAATGGTGGCCAGGTGCAGCGGCTCACCCTGTAATCCCAGTACTTTGGGAGGCTGAGGCTGGCGGATCACCTGAGGTCAGGAGTTTGAGACCAGTGTGGCCAATAGGGCGAAAACCCGTCTCTACCAAAAAATACAAAAATTAGCCAGTCGTGGTGGCAGAGACCTATGGTCCCGGCTACTCGGGAGGCTGAGGCACGAGAATCACTTGAACCCAGGAGGTGGAGGTTGCAGTGAGCCAAGATGGCACCACTGAACTCCAGCCTGGGCAACACAGTGAGATTCTCTCCCTCCCCCACCAAAACAGCTAGTGAATGGTAAAACTGGAGTATCTGCCATTGCTACAAAGGAAGCCACCTAAAGCTTAGTGGCTTAAAATAGCACCCACGTATTATTATTATTATTATTGTTTGTTTTTTTGTGGCAAAGTCTCACTCTATCACCCAGGCTGGAGGGCAGTGGTGCTCTCAGCTCGCTACAACCTCTGCCTTCTGGGTTCAAGCAATTCTCTTGCCTCAGCCTCTCCAGTAGCTGGGATTACAGGCATGTGCCATCACACGCGGCTAAGTTTTGTATTTTTGGTAGAGATGGGGTTTCACCACATTGGCCAGGCTGGTCTTAAACTCATGGCCTCAAGTGATCCTCCCATCTTGGCTTCCCAAAGTGCTGGGATTACAGGTGTGAGCCACCGTGCCTGGCCAATTTATTATTGCTTATGAGTCAGTGGGTCAGCTGGGTGGCCGTGCTGCCCTGGGCCAGGTTTGGCCGGTCCCAACAGGCTCTTGTGCTTTTGGTCAGCTGGCAGGCCGGTTGCTGGCTGACCGGTTGCTGGACTGGGTTATAGGACTTTGCTATCTTCCACATGGTCCCTCATCTCTGGCCATCTAGCTTGAGCCTGTCCACATGCTGGCCTTAGGGTTCCAAGAACATGAGTGCAAGTGTTCGAGGACACTTCCTGGCATGGCATCACTGCTGCCCTCACTCTGTTGGCCAAAGCAAGTCACAAGGCCAGCCTCAATTTGAGGGATGGGGAAATAGACGCTACTTTTTTTTTTTTTCATCGTTATTTTTGGTCGAGACAGGGTCTTGCTATGTTGCTCAGGCTGGTCTTGAACTCCTGGGCTCAAGCAGTCCTCCTGCCTCAGCCTCCCAAAGCGTGGGATTACAGGTGTGAGCCACCACATCTAGCCTAGACTCCACTTCTTGGTGGGAGAAGCTGTAAAGCCACATTGAAGGGGTATGGATACAAGGAAGAGAAAATTTAATAATGAAACTACCAGCCCAGGTATTTTTTAAAGACCAACATCAGCTACCTTTGCTATGCCTTCTCCGTGATGTCATGATGTTACTCGGAAGCATTCTGGGACCTCAGTGGCACTGTCCATGGGGGAAGGACCAGGGACCAGGGCTGGAGAAACTGACCAAGTCCTTGGGCTGGTCCCTGAGGGGTGGGTGATCTGACATCAATGCCCAGCATCCAAAGGGGAGTGGCCAACTTGGGTGGGACCGGCAGTATTCACATCTGAGCAGGTTTGTCTGGGAATGGACCTGGCACAGGAATCTGATGATGGTGATATTTTAACCTAAGATGGTGGCCAAGGCTCTATGTGAATTATTGGGGGAAAGTGGAATTATAGTTTTCACTGCGGAAATAGGGACAGGGTACGGCTTTCCCCTCCCAGGGATTGCACTGGAAAAACTAGACATGTCAAGGGTTCAACATCGGTTTGGAATTCAGGTCAGGGATCCTAGTTACTGAAACTGAGAGAAACAAGGGTTAGAGCAGCAGCTCAGTGGTCGGTTCGGTCGCAGGGCTTCTTCTAAGATGCACTAGACCTCTGTTCTGAGGCTGACATGATAGAAACAGGGCACACATGCTGCTTTTCCCACACTTTGGTGCCCATGGCAGACAGTACTAATGGATCACAGGACCATTTTTCTGATGAGTCCAGACAAGGTCTCAGAATCCTTCTGAACACGGTGTTTCACCAGTCACCATACAACTGAGGAGCATTCATGTGAACTGAAATCTGCTTCCTCTAATCCCTGGTTGCATGCACTATGACATTCTATGCCCCAGTGACTGATGGGGCCAAGCCTTCTTCATGCTCCCCTCCCTGGCTGGTTTAGGGACAGGTTGTTGCTGCCAAACTGCATTGAGAAGGAAGCTGAAGCTTCACCTGGGCTTGGTAGGAAAGGAGAACCATGACGAGTTTGGGATGTCTGGAGCAGGAGAGGCCCTGTAGAGAACACGGCTTCGGGGACAATCAGGGTGGTGCCTGGTTTCAGCTTCCACTTTTCCTCTCTGGGTTGGGGGTGGAGTGGGAAACTGTCAGAGAGAGTCTGCCCCTGGGAATAGGGGCATTCCAGAACCCCCGAGATCTCTGAGAATGGTAGGCTGCATTAGGATTTCCCAATACTTTTTTTTTTTTTTTGAGATAGTCTCACTCTGTCTGCTAGGCTGGAGTGTGGTGGCGCGATCTCAGCTCATGGCAACTCCATCTCCCGGGCTCAAGCGGTTCTCCTGCCTCAGCCTCCCAAGTAGCTGGGATTACAAGTGTGCGCCACCACGCCTGGATAATTTTTGTATTTTTAGTAGAGACAGGATTTCACCATGTTGGCCAGGCTGGTCTTGAACTCCTGACCTCAGGTAATCTGCCCACCTCTGCCTCTCAAAGTGCTGGGATTACAGGCGTGAGCCACCATGCCTGGCTTTCCAACACTATTGACATTTGCGACCAGATCATTCTTTGTGGCGGGGGCCATCCTGTGCATTGTATGGTGTTGGGCAGCACCCTGTCCTCCACCCACCTGATGCCAGTAGCACCCCCACCCCCAGTCATAACAACTAAACATGTCTTTAGACATTGTCAAATGTCCTTTGGGGGGGAAACTGACACCCTCCCTGGAGTAGATCCTGAAAACCTGTTCCCTCCCGGTAGCAGGGAACCACTAGGTTGTGTAAGGAGGGGTGAACCATCCCAAGCTGGAAATGAGCAGGTTAAAACTCCCATGCTGATCAGTAGTTGGACTGCACCTGTGAGCAGCCACTGCACTCCAGTCTGGGCAACATAGCAAGACCTCGTCTAAGAAAGACAGAAAGGAGAGAGACAAATGAGGGGGGATGGGGGGAGGGATGGAGAGAGAGAGAGAGAGAGAGAGAGAGAGAGAGAGAGAGAGTTCCTCTTCATTATTTGCAAGAGTTTATGGAAAGAACAAAGGAGAGAAGAGAGAGAAAAGGAGGGAGAGAGAAAGAGAGAGACAGAAAAACCTCTCCTTAGCAGCAAGACTTTATGGACCAAAGATGTCAAAGGCTTTGGGATCAGGAGGACCTGGGTTGGCTTGGCTGATGTGCAGGGTGACATGGGCCAGCATGCTCCCCTCGTCAGGACTCAGCTTTCCCCTTCAGCAAATGAGAATGACTCCCTCCACCTCTCTGCGCCTGTCCTAATACTCAGTGACTGCCCCTCCCCGTCCCCCGCACAGCCCTGGTCTCCCTCCTGAACCCATGTGCCAACATGAAGGTGTGCAATGAGGACCAGACCAACTGCACGGTGCCCACTTACCCATCATGCCGCGACAGCGAGACCTTCAGCACCTTCCTCCTGGACCTGTTCAAGCTGACCATCGGCATGGGCGACCTGGAGATGCTGAGCAGCACCAAGTACCCTGTGGTCTTCATCATCCTGCTGGTGACCTACATCATCCTCACGTTCGTGCTGCTCCTGAACATGCTCATCGCCCTCATGGGCGAGACGGTGGGCCAGGTCTCCAAGGAGAGCAAGCACATCTGGAAGCTGCAGGTGAGGCCCCAGGGCCCCCGCCACACCCCACCCCACCGGCTCCCCCGCCCTTCCAAGGACACTCACCCGATGCTTCCTCAGCCTCTTCTACTCTGGGCAAGCCACGTCTTCTTATTCTGCCTCCACTTTCCTGTCTGTAAAATGGGCATCAGAGGCTGCTGCTGACTTCCCAGAGCTACCTAGTGGATTTTGAGGTGGCTTCTTCCCTGGCCAGCAGCAGTGGGCTCAGATTCTCCTTGTGGTCCAGCTCACAGGACATAGTTGGCTCCACTCAGCTTGACTGAGTGATTTTCGCTGGCTCTGATGGCACTCAGTGGGCATTAGCGTTTCAGCAGGGGTCCCATGCTGAGCCCAGGGCAGTTTCTGTGCTCCGCCACTCCAGCGCAGGGATGTCTGAGTTCTCACGGGGGTCTTTAACTAGCAACCCTGAGCGTGCCTCATAGAGGAGAAACCAGTGGGGCCACGGGCCACCTTGCCTTGGCCCAGGGGAGCTGCAGCCTTTACATCCCAGAAGCTTTCTCTGCAGTCCTGGGAAGCACAGGCACTGGGCTCACATCCCTCCCAGGCCAGGTGCAGCCTAAGACCTGGTGTCCTAATAAACAGCGCTGCTCCACGGCCCAGGAATGCAGTGCCCATGTTTCCCTTGACTGCATTTCAGGGTAACGGTGCAGTGAGAAAAAAAGGCCCAGGACTGGGTCTGAGGGAAACAGCTCCGGCCTGCTCTTAACCTTGATCTGTATTGCCCACTTCACTGGGCCTCAGTTTCTCCACTGGGCATTACAGGACGCAAACTGGGGCTGCCCACAGTAGTGTGATCTTGGCTCACTGCAACCTCTGCCTCCCAGGCTCAAGTGATTCTCCAGCTTCAGCCTCCCGAGTAGCTGGGACTAAGGTGTGCACCACCACACCTGGCTAATTTTTGTATTTTTTGTAGAGACAGGGTTTCACCCTGTTGCTCTGGCTGGTCTTAAACTCCTGAGCTCAAGCGATCCGCCTGCCTCATCTTTCCAAAGTGCTGGGATTACAGGTGTGAGCCACTCCATCCAGCCTCAGACCATTATATTAAAAAAAAAAAAAAAAAAAAAAAAAGAAGTGCTCAATTTAAAAATTAGGAGATTCCCTATGAAAATCCAGGTTTCTGGCTTTTCTTGAAAAGGTGGAAGCCCCAGGCAGTACAGGGTCCGCATTCCCACCTGGCAGCCACCCCTTTACACAGGGCATTTGCTCCTGGGTTTGCCCCGGTCTCCGCCCCTCCCTCATGTTTCCCACACTAAGTGGTGAGTGCTGTGTAAGCGTCTGGGGCTTGGGCTGAAGACTTTCTGCATCTGATCCTGTTTCACCCATTTATTTTCCTGCCTGCCACCTGTGCATATTTGAGTTTTAATAAATCCCGTTTCTATGGGGCGGTCTAAACGCCTAGTTCTTGGCCCACCCTGGCCTGTTGTTTCATTTCTGCCATCAGAGCGGCAGGTGCGGGCTGCGAGGCTCACCGGTGTCCCTCCTGACCCTCCCTCCCCGCAGTGGGCCACCACCATCCTGGACATCGAGCGCTCCTTCCCCGTGTTCCTGAGGAAGGCCTTCCGCTCTGGGGAGATGGTCACCGTGGGCAAGAGCTCAGACGGCACTCCTGACCGCAGATGGTGCTTCAGGTGAGGCTGGGGAGTGGGATGGGGCGGGTGGGGTGGGGTGGGGTAGAACAGTCCCCACTGGATTGGGGGCCCTGGTGCTCCAGCGTCATCGACCCATTGCAATTTCCGGAGCCACTGAGGCCCTGAAAGGCCCAAGCAGAGTTCATTTCTAGCAGGTGGTCTTAGGCAGCTCGGCCGCCTCTCTTAGCCTGTTTCTTCATCTGTGAAATGAGACAGTGGTAGCTCGGGCTTCTAGGCTGGCGGTGCAGGTTAGACAGGTCAGCTCGTGAGAAGTGCTCAGCCAGTGCACGACGTGCACTGGGAAACCACAGGCTCCTCTGTCCCTTGCTCAGAGGAAAACAGAGACTTGGATGGTGGGTTCATCTCAGAGCTTCACCCTCTGTCTACCAGAGTGGGCTGGGCTCTAGTGCCTTGGGTGAAAGGGGAAGCCGAGGAGTCTGCAGTTCCCAGCACTCCAGACCTCAGCCAGCCTGTCTGCAGAGTGACTCCATGTTCCAGGGGCACAGGGTGTGCCAGCTTCTTGGGGGAACCTCTTCATGAATCTTTTCTTTTCAATTGAGTCATTCTTTGTAAAGTGGTTGTCAGCATAGAGCATAAGCAGAATGTTTGGAGTCAGGCAAAGTCAGTTTCCTCATTTGGGAAATGGGAGCTTCTAGGCCAGCCGGTCCATTCAATTCCCTTTTTTGTTTTTAGAGACAGGGTTGCTTAGGCTGGAGTGCAGTGGTGTGATGGTAGCTCACTGTAGCCTCCAGCTCCTGGGCCCAAGGGATCTTCCCACCTCACAGCCTCCTCATGCCACCCCGTTCAACCAGTTTTTGAATTTTTTTGTAGAAATGGAGTTCTTGCTATGTTGCCAAGGCTGGTCTCCAACTCCTGGCCTCAAGCAGTCCTCCCACCTTGACCTCCCAAAATGCTGGGATTACAGGCACGAGCCACTGCACCCAGCCTCAGTTCAGTTTGAATCTAAAGCTCAAATCCTGGCCAAGTGTGGTGGCTCAAGCTTGTAATCCCAGCACTTTGAGAGGATGAGGCAGGAGGATCGATTGAGGTCAGGAGTTCAAGACCACCCTGGGCAACATGGGTGTGGAGATGTGTGTGGTGGTGTGAGGCACCACGCCTGGCTAAGTTTTGTATTTTTAGTAGAGATGGGGTCTCACCAAGTTGGTCAGGCTGGTCTCAAACTCTTGACCTCATGATCCGCCCACCTCGGCCTCCCGAAGTACTGAGATTACAGGTGTGAGCCACAACGCCAGGCCTTGTTATGTATATTTTACCATAATAAAGAAACAGGAGGGTGTGCTGGGGATGGTGGCATGGGAAGCGTCTCTGGGAAGGGCTCTCCATGACCCTCCGCTCTGGCCCCTCCAGGGTGGATGAGGTGAACTGGTCTCACTGGAACCAGAACTTGGGCATCATCAATGAGGACCCGGGCAGGAATGAAACCTACCAGTATTACGGCTTCTCACACACCGTGGGCCGCCTCCGCAGGGGTGAGTGGTAGGACGGGTGCAGAGGGGAGCCCCTGTCCATTCTCACCGCAAATTTGCTTTGAGCAGTCCTGCCCCTTTCCAGGACTCAGTGTCCACGTCTGCCGAATGGGAGCGTGTGCCCCTGAGTTTCCTCTGCTGCTTGTAAATGCCCAGGGCACCTCACCTACATGGCTTTGTCCCGGCCCTCTCTACTGTGAAACGAGCTGGCCTGCAGAGGGAGGATGAGCTCCTCAGCCATCCCCAAATGGAGAAAACCTTCCTGTTTGTCTAGTGAGCCGTGAGCGTGCGAGACGCAGCTGGAGAGGATGTAGGCGCTCAGGGCTTTGGCTCTGGCCTTGAATCCTGGTTCCTCCATTTACTCCTGGGGAGGCGCCTTGACCTCACTTGAGCCCATTTCCACCTCTGTAAAATGAGCATAGTCACACCCCCGCTTCAGGCCACTGTGGAGTGCTCAGTACACAGCAGGCGCTCCATGTATGCTTGCTGTCTCTCCGCCCCCCACCCCCATCTGATGTGCTCTCGGTGCAGATCGTTGGTCATCGGTGGTGCCCCGCGTGGTGGAACTGAACAAGAACTCCAACCCAGACGAGGTGGTGGTGCCTCTGGACAGCATGGGGAACCCCCGCTGCGACGGCCACCAGCAGGGTTACCCCCACAAGTGGAGGACTGATGACTCCCCGCTCTAGGGACTTCGGCCCAGCCCCAGCCTCTCCGCCGGCCCATTTCTAGTCCACCCGCATTTCAGCAGTGCCTTCTGGGGTGTCCCCCAACGCCCTGCTTTGGCCCCAGAGGCGAGGGCCCAGTGGAGGTGCCAGGGAGGCCCCAGGACCCTCTGGTCCCTAGGATCTGCCTCCCCGCTCCAGGATGGGGGCTCCCGGCTGCCTGTCTCGCTCCTGTGGAGTCACATAAGCCAACGCCAGGGCCCCTCCACCCACAGGGCTCAGGCCCTGGCCCCTGCCTCTCCTTTATTTATTTGCTCTGCTCTCAGGAAGTGGCATGACCCCTGCCCCAGCTGGAACCTGGCAGAGGCCTCAGGACCCCGTTCCAGGTGCACTGCCTGGCCAAGCCCCAGCCCCAGCCTGAGCTGCACGCGCCACCATGTGCGGCAGCATGGCAGCTTTGCAAGGGGCTGGAGCCCTCGGCGTGGGGCCGTGCCTTCTGTGTGTTCTGTAGAGTGTCTGGGATTTGCCGGTGCTCAATAAATGTTTATTCATTGATGGTGGAGATGGCGGGATGATGGTGGGGGGATGGTAAAAGGCATGAGACGACAGCGAGGGCGATGGAAGAGCTAGGACATGCCTGGGGGGAGGCAGGGGCAGGGGTGAGAGCGAAGGCAGAAGTACTGACTGGGAGGCACTGAGAGTGTTGGTCGTTGGGGCTGGACTGGGTGGTGGTGGTGGTGCTGGCCTGAGAGGTGGTTGAGATTAGCATGGCTGTGGGGAAGATGGGGTGGAGGGAGGGGAGGAGAGTGACACTGGCGGGGGTAATAATGCTGGTTAGGGAGAGTCATGTTGGCAGGGGGAGAGTGACGCTGGTGGGGAGGACAATAGTGCTGGCTGGGGATAATGATGCCCATGGGGGCAGTACATTTGGGCAGGGGTGAATAATACTGGCTGGGGGTTGACGATGCAGGTGCGGGGACTCTGGTGCTCGTCAGGGGACAGTGATGCTGCTGGGAGGACCATCCTGCTAGTGGGGAGGATGGAGCAGGCGTGGCAGTGGGGGAGCCCCAAGTGTCAGCTGGGGTGTTGGGTGTGTGTGTCGGCTGCTGTGGTGAGGTGGTGCGTTGGCAGTGCTTGTGGAGCTGGGGTCGGGTCGGGGGGGGCTCACAGTGCTGCGGGGCTGAGTGGGATGGCGCCTCCTCGGGGACTGCCTGCCTGTGTCTGTCCACGGGGCCGTGTGCCACCCTGAGCTGTGAGCCATGAGCTGGAGGTGAGGCTGACCGTCTTCCCTTCTGTATTAGTCTGTTCTCGTGCTGCTGATAAAGACATACCTGAGACTGGGTAATTTATAAAGAAAAAAATGAATTCACAGTTCCATGTGTCGGGGGAGGCCTCACAATCATGGCAGCAGGCAAAAGGCACCTCTCACATGGCAGCAGGCAAGAGAGAAGAGAGCTTGTGCAGGGAAATGCCCGTTTATAAAACCATCAGATCTCATGAGACTTATTGACTATCACAAGAACAGTATGGGAAAGACCCACTGCCATGATTCAATTACCTCCCACTGGGTCCCTCCCAGGACACGTGGGAATTGTGGGAGCTGCAATTCAAGATGAGATTTGGGTGGGGACACAGGCACACCATATCACCTTTCCAGGGCAGCCATTTTCCCAGGGTCACATCCAACATGAGTCAAGCTCCCAGGCAGCTCCAGACCTCCTGGCATGAGGAGGGACCCCACAGCCAAGGAAGCCTCAGCCAGCTACAGTTTCCCATGGCCTCCAGCTCCAGGTCCAGCCTTAGGCTGCGATCTCATGTCCTTCTAAAGCTTCGGTCGAGAAGACCAAGGCCAAGGGCAGCTCAGGGGAAACAGCAAGGGCTTGGACTGAGCAGACCTGGGCTTGCACTGGCAATGGGTTACTTGGTCCAGGGAACATCGGTTGAGTCACTTTACCTCTCTGGGCCTCCACCTCTTCATCTGTCAGAAGGGAGAGTCAGTGGCAGGAGCGACACAAGTCTGCCAAGCTCCGTGAGGACTGGGATTACCACCAAGGCCGGCCAGGGGGCTCCAAGCCCCCACCTCCTCCTCCATTGCTCTCCAGGAGCCCATGGCACCCTATGGTCCAGGGGTAGCCCAGCCTTTTCCAGGGCTCTGTGCTTTCTCATCTGATCCTACACCCAGACGGGGTCCTCAGGCAGCACCCTCCGCAGGCGTCCCCAGAGCCATTCTGATTAGATGGGTTGTGTCAGAGGTTGCGCCTGAGCCAGTCCCCACGTCCGGGTGATGGGATGCTCCCTGCTAAACCTCCCCAGAACCACAGGGAACCCCAGCTAAGACTGGCAAGTCAGCTCCCCAGAGGCTGCAGACAAGCATCTTTCCCTCAGGTCAGGCTCTGGGAAGGAGCAGCCATTGTGACCGAGCTCCTGGGGCTCGACTCTGAGAAGGGCAGAAGGTCTGGGGCGGAGAGAGGAACACTCTTTTCCTTTCCTCTACTCTGTTGAGGTGAAAACACTCTTTTACTTAAGTTGTTGGTGTTGGTCTCTTCCCCTGGGTTGGTCAGAAGACAAGATGGCCACCTGGATCTTTCCTTGAAGCTGGTTGTTTGGGACAAGCAGGGGGCCTATTTTGCCTTGCGTGCCCTTGAAAAGAGCAAGAATGGTAAGGAGGGACATTGGGGGAGGTCCTAGAAGGCTCTGGATTTGGGCCGGGCACAGTGGCTCACATCTGTAATCCCAGCATTTTGGGAGGCCAAGGCAGGCGGATTACCTGCAGTCAGGAGTTTGAGACCAGCCTGGCCAACATGGTGAAACCCTGTCGCTACTAAAAATACAAAAATTAGCCAGGTGTGATGGCATGCACCTGTAATCCCAGCCACTCTGGAGGCTGAGGCAGACGAATTGCTTGAACCTGGGAGGCAGACGTTGCATTGAGCTAAGATTGCACCATTGAGCCAAGATTGCACCACTCCAGCCTGGGCAACAAGAGTGAAACTATATTAAAAAAAAAAAGTTCTGGATTTGGAATCCAGAGAGCTGATTTGAGTCTTGCCTCAGGAACTGATCTTCCAGGCATTTGTAGGTAGATCAGAAATGTTCCGAGCCTCAGTTTCCTCATCTGTAAAATGGGCACAGGCTTTGTGATGATCAAGTAATTCTAGGGGGCCTTTAAATTCCCCCAGGCAGGCCGGGCACGGCGACTCAGGCCTGTAATCCTAGCACTTTGGGAGTCCAAAGTGGGCGGATCACCTGAGGTCAGGAGTTCCAGACCAGCCTGGCCAACATGGTGAAACCCCCTCTCTACTAAAAATATGAAAATTAGCTGGGCATGGTGGTGCACCCTCTCTAATCTCAGCTACTCAGGAGGCTGAGGCAAGAGAATCGCTTGAGCCCTGTGGGGGTGGGGGTGGGAGGGAGGTTGCAGAGAGCTGAGAGATCACAGCACTGCACTCCAGCCTGGGTTACAAGTGAGACTCTGTCTCAAAAAAAAAAAAAAAAAAATCCCCCAGGCAGCAGTTGAATCATAAATAATACCCAAATCAATGAGGAAGAAGAGAGAATTGTGGCTGTAGTGTTCATACAGTTATGTGATTTGGGTAGCAAGTAACAGAAAACTTACACTGGCTGAAAGAAAAAGCCTATTGTCTCAGCAGGATGCCCCAAGTTAGGGAGAATAAGGGTCTCCGTGATTATTAAGGACCCAGTTCTGTTCTTCATGTATTCCTTCAGAATTTAAGTATGGATTCCAACCATGCATCAGGCACTGGGCGAGGCAATGCCTGCCTAGTATGCTGGCTTTTTCATCACGCCAGCTTTCCTCAAGGACACAAGATGGCGCCCTTGATCCGGGCATCACATCCAGATTCAGTTTCATTCACAAGGAGGGAAGGCAGCCCTTTCTCGTTTTCCCTGACGTCTCCTAGCTAGCCTCTCCTCTCCTATTATTGGCCAGAATTGTGTCACGTGTCCCCCACTTCAGCCAGTCAGTAGGCAGGAAACAGCAATTGGCCTAAAGAAGCAGATGGCAATATGGAGGAAGGAAGTAATCCCAGCCAGGCCTGGGTTCTGTGAGAAACAGGATGTGGGAATTGATATTGCCTAGGCAACCAGTAGCATCTACTACAGTCCTTTTTGCAGATGTCCACCCTCCACGCCAACATTGTCACCAAGAATGGCTGTGGTTCATTCTGGGTCTGTGAAGAGGTCACTTCTCTAGGGGCAGACAGGATGGGCCTGCCTGCCAGCAAAATCAAAACACCCTCCCAACTCAAAGAGACCCAGTAACGTCTAAGGTGAGTGTTTAATTCATTTATTTTCTTCCTTTTTTATATAAAACAGGGTCTCACTCTGTTGCCCAGAATGGAGAGCAGTGGTGCAATCTTGGCTCATCGCAACCTCCCTCTCCCAGGCTCAGGCAATTCTCCTGCCTCAGTCTCCCAAGTAGCTGGGATTATAGGCATACACCGCTATCTCCAGGCTAATTATTTTTATTTTTTTATAATGAAATAATGTTGGCTATGAATTTTCCTATGAGTATGCTTTTAGCCATGTAGTAAGTTTTTCAACTGTGATTTTTCAAAATATTTGATGATTTGGATATTGACTGTGACTCAATAGCTGTCTGGGGGAACTTCAAAATTTACAAGTGATTGGGATTTTGTTTGCTCCAGTAAGATCTTAAACATAACCTTTCCCAGTGTTTCCAAAGTGTGGGACATGCGCTGGTGGTTTGCCAGAGTATTCTCAGGTGATACAATGGACATAGGATCACAGTTTAAAAACCCATGTTCTTTCAGTTCTCTGTGTCCCTTGACTATATCAAGGTCTTAATTTGGTGGTTCTGTGTTTTAAATGCCTTCCCAACATTCACTAATCTTTGTTTCCAAATAGAGAAAAACCTTAGGCTCAGAACATCTGGAAGAACATGGTATCTAGGAGGAGCTTCAAAACATTTTAATTTCGTGGCAGGTCATGGTGGCTCATGCCTGTAATCCCAGCGCTTTGGGAGACTGAAGTCAGGAGTTCAAGACCAGCCTGGCCAACATGGTGAAACCCTGTCTCTACTAAAAATACAAAAAATACACACACACACAAAAATCCGCTGGGTGTGACAGTGTGCGCCTGTAAGCCAGGTACTCGGAAGGCTGAGACAGGATAATCACTTGAACCTAGGAGGTGGTGGTTGCAGCAAGCTAAGATCGTGCCACTGCAATTCAGCCTCGGTGACAGAGTAAGACTCCGTCTCAAAAAATAAAATAAGCCATTTTAATTTCACTTTATTTTAGAGTAATAAAGCCTTCTCTATGGAAAATGATACAATTTTCTAGATAAAGTAGTGGTCTCAAGTGTAGTTTACAAGAAAGTCATTTGGGAATAAAAATGTAGCTTGTAAAAAAAAGAATACTTTGATGATTTTAGGAAGTATATTAAATGAATAAACTTTCATGGGGAAAATGATGACTATGTTATAGAAATGACTGATATTTGGGAATCATTAAATTAGCCCAATCCTACATCCATGCTGGATCCCTTTTCACCACCAAGCCTACACCTCTGTATTTGCATACCTCCTGTGACAGGAGGTTCATCACCTCTGAAGGCTGTACCAAAGCAGCGTCCGTAGTTTAATACTTGATGCCCTTCTCCAAGATCGAGCACTTGGGTTCCTTTAGCCACTCCTCAGGTAATCAATGCAGCCACCACGTAAGGAGTGCCTCCTGTGTCTGACACTACCATTCAGTCTCTCTAAGACTGAGGAGGTGCGGACTCTGCTAAAGGTCACACAACTTGTAAGTAGATGAGGTGGGATTTGAACCTGAGGAAGTAATTCCAAAACCCCAGGCCCTTTGCCCACATGACCTCACTTCCTCTTCTGTGTAATCCTGGGAGGTAAAGAATAAGAGGTTTTGTTCCCTTTTTGAATAAGGCACAGAGATGAAGTGATCTGTTCAAGGTCACCCAGCTACCTGATGAGTGTGGATTTGAATCCAAATGTCATCTGACTCCAAAGATGCCAAGCTAACCTTCCTTTGCCATGATCTCTTACCATTTTCCCCACCCCAGTTGCTCACTTGGGCAGGAGGTCTCGCCTGTCTTTTTGGAGGTAAATACTTTCAATAAAGGATAAAAATTCACCTTCATTCATTGAACTCTTCAAGTGTCCCAGGCTTGATCTTCTACATATGGCACTTCACTGAAGTCTCACGGGGATTCTATACGGTTGGCATTCTTAAATTACCTTCCCCATGCCTTGTGCCTTATTAGTCACAGTTTTGGGGGGGCACAGACTTGTGACAGCAAGTCTGAGTACACATTGGCTCACATGACTGAAAAGACCAGGCATGTTTGGCTTCAGGTATGGCTGGATCCAGGGGCTTGAATGAGGTAATCAGGACTCAGTTTCTCTATTGTGTGCTTGTCTCACAGCTCTGTCTTCCTTCAATGAAGCTTTCTTCTTAGACAGGCTCTCCCAAGGTGTTGAACACTGGAAGCTGCAAACTGACATCCTACCAACTCAACAATCTTAGAGAAAAGAGCTGCTTGTTCAATCATCCCAGCAAAAGCCCCAAGTCCCTGACTCTCACTGGACCAACTTGGGTCATGTGTCCACTCCTGAACCAATCACTGATGCCTGGGAAGCAGAATGATCTCTGATTGGTCAGACTTGAGTTATTTGACGATCTCCCGAGCTAGGGGTAGAGTTAGCTTCTCCCAGACCCAGGGGCCTGAGCGTGGGGAATGGCAGTGCCCTAAGCAATGTTAGAATGTGGACACCTGTGCTAGATGGCCTCAGTGGCCCCAAATCCCCACTCTTCCCGTTATCTGGGCCCTTTGCAGTCTAACTTTGTGATGTCCTCCCACCATGGGCAAAGCATAATTTCCCACACCTGGGCTTGATCATGTGACTTGTCTTGACCAATGGAATGTTACCAGACGTGCCAGGGCCAGCCCTTGGGAGGAGGATGAGTCACCCCAGGCAAATCTGGCTGAGATCAGAGGAACCCCGCAGGTGCGTGAGAAATGAATGTTTTTGGATACCACGGATTTTTTATGAGTGTGTGTGTGTGTGTGTGTGTGTGTGTGTGTGTAAGCACAGGCAGCAATAGCTAATGGATATAGACACTAGAAGAGAGTAAATAGAACCCGGGCAGGCCAAAAAAAACTAAATATCTACTACATTCCATGTTATAGATGAGGAAACAGGTTCAGAGAGGTGCAGGCTCTTGCCTGGGGCACCTGGCTGCTAAGCAGTGGGGTTGGGAGTTGAAGCCAGGCGCTCTGCTCAGAACCCATGCTGGAGAGAAAACGCTCTGATCCCTGAGCAGTGGGAGGTAAGGAGGCCAGGCCACTTCCGCGGTGAAGACTCTGGCCTGTCACTTTCACGGAGCTCCCCAGCCAGTCAGCATTCACTGAGAGCCCCACACCCCTAACTTTATTCCAGCAAGGACTTGTTCTCGCGCGCATATGTGTGTGTTTAATAATGATACAGCACTTGTATGTCATATTTGACAGGAGGGCTTTTTTCCTCCCAAGTGTAAAGCACTACTGGGAAAGAATTAGTGCTACTGGAGGCAAAAACAAAGGGACCCCATCAAAAAAGACAGTCTCTGAAACTCTGGGATCTTAATTGAACAATTACCTCTCATGCCTATGAATGGTTCATTATTACATGCCCTGTTATTATTAGCTGTTATTATTGTTTTAGATGAATGCTGGGAATTTTGTTTTAATCAAAAGCCATATTCAGACACGCCGTTCATCTCCCCGCAAAATGCATGCTTCTGACATTTCCGAATGTGATAATGTCGTAGTCGGCAGTCGGTCCCCGCACCTCGCTCAGATGATGGTGTACTCGGATCATTTCCGTTGTCTGGATGGAGTGGTTAAATACTCCAGGCCTCTGTTCATGCTGTTATTAATTTTTGGCTCCCTGGTGAAAGCATTCACATCACAATCTAGCACTTCCTTTCTTTGATTCCTTAGGAATCCAGTGTCACTGGGGACAATGAAGTGATCTTTGTTCATCCCAAGCTTTTGAGATAGCAGTAAGAGGGAGGGCAGTGATGGAGCCTGAGGTCAGGATGGGAGAGGCGCTGGATGGTGGAGACTCAAGTCCCAGGACTGAGGCATGGAAGGCTGGCTCAGGAGAGGCCGGGCTGGGAGTCTTGTGCTCTCAGAGGGAATCACACAAAGGGGGAAGCAGCATGGGTGAGACACCTGGCATGTGTTAGCTGCTGTGCTTAGACTTTGGGATTCATAGCTCAGGAACCATGTGTGGGAGCTCGTGGGAGCTCATGAACCAGTATTTGTACCATCGTAGAAATCACACCCGCTCTTCCTTACAGCACCTAAGCCAAACCAAAGACCATGACTCTCCTTCCCTCACTAGGTATTGGTATGGGAATAGCCATGTGACTGAGTTCTGCCCCATGAGACAAGCGGGGAGGTCTGCTGGGGGAGGGAGAATTCTGGGAAAAGTTTCTGGGAAATTAAGAAAAATCTAGGAAAAGACTATCCTCTTTGTTGCTGGTCACTGTTGCATCTGGATGTGATGCCTGGAACTGCAGCAGCCACTTTGTGCCCCTGAGGGACCTTGGCAGCTCAGAAAGATTAAAAGGACATTGATCCCTGATGACACCGTTGAGCTGCTACATTAACTAACCATGGGGCCACCATGCCTTAAGGCTTCTTATGATTATTCCAGATAATAACTGTTCTTTCTCATTTAAACCAGTTGAGTCAGGGGGATTTTCTGTTATTTGGCCCATCATGCAGGTAGAAGTACAAATCCGTATCCCCATTTTACAGATGAAAGTGAGACCCAGTCACTAAGGACACGTAGTCTAGATGTGGTGGAGCTAAACCTTTCTAGGGGGTGGCAGGATTTTTTGAAAAAACACTTAGTGTTTTTGGCATTTCCAAAGCAGGCCCACATCCGATTTCTCCGCAGCCGCAGGCTGTAATGGCTTCTAACAGGTAAGGACAGGAGAGGGTGGGGTTTGGAGCAAGGACTCAAACCCAGGTCCGCAGATCTCAGCTTAGGATCTTCTTAGCACCGTAAGGTTCTTAGTGACATCAGAGAGTCTCCCTTGCTGTCAGCACCCCTTAGTTTTGGGGTGCACCCCTTAGTTTTGGGGTACACCCCCTGGATCCCAAAGATCTGCTCTTGGCTGGCACAGGCGGGGCTGCTGCGATCCTGGAGATTGGCCACCAGGGGTCGCTGTTGTCACACTCAGGGGCCTCAGAGGAGTTCAGAGGGAAGCTTGGAACCTGGAGACTCAGGAAGACTTCA